TGCTGTAATCAAAACCCCTTATGGGGTAGGTGGTACTTGACATAAATGTCAAGGCCATTAGTATGTGCCTTCTTGGAGGGAAGAAGACATTCCTAGCAAGTAGAAGCCATAGAAACAGAAGCAGAGAGAAATATCCATGACAGTCAATCTAAACATTGTAAAGATTTCATGATCAAAATCTGTGCCAATCCATTAAGCATCTTTTAGAGGTTGTTTTTTTTTTTTCTTGCCTACAGAGTTTTTATTTGATTCTCAAATGTATGTGACTGTCAAATATCTTACTCAATATTTGGCTTTGGTTATCATTTTCAAATTAATTCAACAAATATTTATAATATGGTGTATAAATTTCAATGACGCACACTGTGCCAGGCATTATAATATATAGAAATGAAGAACTTGTTTCAACCTTGACTATTTTGCTGCCTTGTTGGTGAGAAAATGTATATACAAATCAGATTCAAGGTAGTCACCAAACCAAGGACACTCAAACATTCCCCAAGTTTGAAACTCCCTACGTATGAATCACCAGGTACGTAAAGACGTTCCAGTCCTTCGCATATGCAGGGGCTATTCCTGTCCGCATACGCAACCTCTCTTCACACCCACTGTAGCTCCTTCCTGCAACCAAGTTCTGCTGATGGTGCCCTGCCGGCTAGAAACCGTCACTGGTCACTTGTGGACCTCACATCTGTCGTTCATCGATCCTTTTGTTTGCTTACTGAGCTGATCACTGAACACATCCTGTAGCATATAATTACCACCTCCCTCTACCTTGATTCATCTGCCTTTGGCTACTCAGAGTTCAGGTACTTCCCTCAGACAACACCCTTTCACACATTTAATGGATCCTTTTGGGGGCCTATCTTATTTCCCCTCTTTCTTCTAATACTTGTCAAGTCCCTAGAAGGAAAGAACACAAACTCTCTCATGTCCCCTTTCTCTTGGAACAAAGAACCCTTGCATGCCTCCCCTACAGAAAGTGCTAGAAACCGTGTTGTATTGAGGAGAAAAAAGGTATCATGTTTAAAAATGAAAAAAAAAAAAATGTTGAATTAGTGACATCAGCTTCTAAAGCTTTTGAAAATTTCTTTCAGAAGTTTCTTTCTGAATCTCCATGAAAAAAAAAAAACCTTCCTCTAAAATTTTACAAGTGCTTCCTCCAAAATGTCTACATCGTGCATGGAGCCCTGAGTGTGGTGCATAAACAGTGAATTTTGGAACACTGAAAAAACAATTAAATTTTAAAAATAAAATATCAAATTATACCTCATTTGTTTATAAATGCTACAAAAACATTTTCTACTTTTTATTTTTCTTTGCAAACGTAACCTACCTGAACAACAGAGTTGACTGAACATTGTGAATTCCAAATGAACAGCCTTCATACACATTGTGTAGTGTCATGCAGTTATAAGGTGAGGATGCCTCGTGGAACATGTCATTCAAAACGAATGGAATGAAAAATAGCTATTGTATGAATTGAAAGGAGAGATAGACTGGGGGGTGACAAAGACATGGATAGATTCACAAACTTGGGAACACTTTTTGCACAGAAGGTAAAACTTGAACTTGACTGTAAATAATAAACTGATGTGGTAGGGAGAAGTCGAAAGGGTATCTCAAGATGGGAAAAGTTGCATTTGGTTGAAATGGAGACTTTTTATGAAAGAGGCAAAGATACTGAGCAACCAGAATTGGGCGAATTTGTAGGTGTTTCATGGGACGGAAGTGACTGACGTCACATTAAGGAATTTCATGGATTTTCTTCCAGAAATAATGGAGAGCTATGGAAATTTGGAAGGACCGTCATGGATTCGACAGAATGGTTTTAGAAATTTGCCCCTCCTTGGTGATGTTCAGGGAATTAGAAAGCAAAAAGATGAGCTCGGAGGCCATTTGTAGCTACGTGAGATGCCAGAGGCCTGGACTAATGTGGTGGGAATGTCGGACAATGGGAGCTCTGACTAATGCTTCCACCAGAATGCACCGTAGTCTTGATGGAATAAAGGGGGTGAAGGAAAATAATACCTTAGAAGTGATAGTGAGGTTTCAGACTGGGTGACTGGGAGAATGCAAAATACACCTAATGGCAGAAACAGGGAGGTCAGAAGAGAAAAAATAGATGGAGAGGCACCTGTCTGGCTCAGTCAGTAGACCGTGTGATTTTTTAAAATCTTGGGACCATGAGTTCAAGCCCTGCACTGGGCATAGAGCTATGTTATAAATAAATAAACAAACAAATAAATAAATAAGTAATAAGTAAGTAAATAAGGAAATTGGATGGAAGAGAGGCTATGTGTCCCAACTCTGTCAATAGAAAATTAATGTGAGCCACATAATGTCATTTTAAATTGCCTGGCAGCCATATTCAAAACGCTAAAAATAAACAGATGAAATTGCATTTAATAATATTTTATTTGCCTAATATATTCCAAATACGATCATTTTTACATTTAATCAGTATAAAAATATCAATGAGCTCATGTACATTCTTTTTCTCACACTAAGTCTTTGAAATCTGGTGTGTATTTAATACTTAGAGCACATCCCAGTTTAACTAGCTACACTTCAAGTGCTCAGTAGTGACCATGGCTGGTGGCTACCATATTGGACAGGGTATTATTGGCCAGTTTAATAGAACTAATAAATATTATGTAGCAAATGTTTCAATTAAGCTGGTGCTAAGATTCACTGTATTTTGGAAATTAGAATTCTGTTTATCCTTTCTCCTCCTCTGTTCCTTTTGCTTATTTTAGCTACTTCATATTCAAGATGTTCTTTTAACAGAACATCATTCTTTCCCCAAAGCACCAAGAATTTTAGAAATATCCATGATAGATTGCTTCATTGCTCTAATTCTCCACTTGACTTACAACTTTAATTAAACAAGTCAGTCTGAATCTTCTTTTTCTTCTCCCTTTCTCAGTCTTAAAACTCATGATTATGAAATGATTTAGCAATTTGTCCTCAAAAACCTTGGATAAATGACACTTAATACTTTGGAAATGAAACCACATTTTTCATGTTCCCCCTGTCCACATATGTGTGTATTTCTCCAGCATTTAATGTCTGACATAAACTCGCTGGATTTGGGTCTTCACTATATGCTAAAGAACGCAGTTTGAAAGGGAGCGCACTTCTATAGAAAACACGCCAAGGACATTGTGTTCCATCTTTACAATGAAATACAGATTTCCCATTAAAAGGCGAATCCATCATTTCAAAAGGTTGAATAGGATGGTGCATTAAAAAAATCCAGCTGCTGAAATTTAGGGCATTGAAAAACATCCAATAAAAAAAAAATGTTCCCTGGGTTTCAAGCATTTTCATTTGGTTATGTATTGGATAGCTTTTCATTCAATCTGTGATCTTGCCTCTTCGAATTCTGTCCTAAAATAGTCTGACAAGTGTTCCAAACAAGTTAGACTCAACTATGATACTTCATTAACTTAAATTATGCATTTTTTAATTTAGAATATCCTTGTGTTTGCTAATATATTATTAATTTTTGCACAAGAAATACTGGAACATTCTTACAGTGCCTTGCTTTTTCATCTTTATTCTTAGGCTTCTCTCACTCCCATTTAAGTTTTTTTTTTTTTTTTTTATGTTTTTTTGAGCTTCTTTGATGACATTGTCTGCCAGGCAACCCGTTTTGTTCTCCAACCAACTTCCTTCAACTGATTTAGCCCTCTCTCTCTCTCTGCCTCCCTATTCTGATGTGTTCTACCCAACTTTTCTCTAATTAATTTAAGACTAAGAAGTGGCAAAGCCAGTGATTCTCTGGGCAGTAACTCTTTATGGTCCCCACAAGCTGGCGAGGGTACACATACACACACACGCACACGCGCGCACGAAGAGATCTACTCCACTCTCTAAACAGAAAGGCTTATGTCAAACATGTCTATACAGTGCATGCATTTTTTGATGGGAAATACAATAGTAGTTTATTAAAAGTCATGGCTAACTAAGTCTCTGTACTTCCCTCCTTGGAGTCTAGGCCTGCTTTTTGTCAGGACCAGCACTAAAGACACAGGCTGGGACCATACATAGGGTGTTGTTGAACAGGGACTGTGCTAAAATGCTCCTGGTAATAGATACTAAGTTTCTTAAGCTGAGTGTCTGATTGTCTCTAGTAGACTGATTGTTAGGCATTTATATGTATGATAATATTGTCCCTGCGCCTAATAGTAAATGTTTCTAATAATTCTTTGGCATCTAGTATGTTTCAGTAAGACCAGTTTAATCCCATTTGCAGACCTCCCTCCCCAATTTCCATTTCCTTTCTAAAGAATTATTAATTTTAGAAGAGAATTTATTCTAGTTAATATCAGTCTATTTCTCATGGATTTTTTTTTTCCTCAAAGAGCTCAACAGTGGAATTACTTTCTTCTGGACCCACATTTTATTGTACAAGACCAGTGCTCTAACTCCTGAGCTATGGAGCCCACATTTTATTCTAGACCCAAAGGAAGGAAGTATTTTGCTGTGCTTTCTCCTGGTTTATAGGGGGTGTTTCAAACTGGGGTCCTGTGTTTCAGGCTCTTGCCAGCACTGGCTATCAAAACTGCTTAGGCTGCAAATAAACTATGAAATGAAATCCATCTGGCGTTTCTCATTGAATTAGGACCAGAACATTTTTGTTAAATATTAACAGATGGCTAAATTCTTAATATCAAGCTAACATTTTTAAAACATCTAAGGGGACCCACATGAGGAAGAAAGGAGAGAGGACCATGTGTTCTCTCTATCGCTGAGCCCTTCTTCCTTCCTCCACGCTTTTCCTCCCCTCATCCTTCCGACCCATGTGTTGAGAATCACTGGAGTCTCTTTTCTCAGATAGCTTTTATTCCTTGGTAGCTGTTATCAAAAGAGTGCATGATGGTTTCAAAATATTGTAATCTAATGTTGGCCAACTCAGGTGACGTGTTGCCATTGGTAGGCTTCAGGATCTTTTATTAAAGCCAATTTCTCTCCCTCTCTTTCTCTCTCAACAGGAAAAAGAAAAGAAGTATATGCTCCCTTTGGACAACCTGAAAGTTCGAGATGTGGAAAAGAGCTTTATGTCTAGCAAGCACATCTTTGCACTTTTTAATACAGAACAAAGGTAAGAAAAGGAACCAGCTTCTGTCTTCAGATACTTTTTCACTTGAATTTCTGTGTGATCTAGAGATCATACTTACAAGAGTTCCTTTGGTCCCACCTTGGAATTTGTTAACCCAATGGTTTTCCTTTCATTTAGCTTGTGTGTTTAGCTTTCACCATAGGTTTTGGTTTCAAAAGACGAAAACGTAGAATCAGAAGGCTCTTCGAGTATTAATTATTCCCTCTTCTTCCAGCAGGCGCCTAAATCATGCTACTTTCATTCTTAAAATACATTTTATTGTTTTAAAGTCTTCCTTGTCCTGAATTTATTATGTACATACTTACAAATTACTGTTATAATTTTTAATAGTATCCAGCATGGATGGATATGACCCAAGAGCTTCTTATATATATTAGGATGACACTTTTGCATTGGCAAATAGAATTATTCACTTAATGTGAATACAAACATGTGGTACTTCACAGTTTTCCAAGGCTTTATGCTCATTTTTTAATCAGTTTCCCATGAGATCGAAAGATAGAGTAGCCTGGTGACCATTTTGTACATGAGAACTGTAGCTCAGAGACGTTAACCAACAGGAAGATCAGATCCTGGAGTTAGGACACAGGAAGCTTTGAACTGAGCCAGGACCTCTGGGTCTATGTCCACTTTTCCTTCCACTTGTGTTTCTTACCTGGTTTTGTTGCTGGTGTTTGTTTGTTTTCCTGCCCCTTCCCTACAACATCAAACTCAATTTGGGGCTGGTCCTGGAGTGCCGTGGTTATTTACTGAAGTCAAGTGGTAAAAGTACGTAAACCAATGGAGAGGTGACAGAGGATGGCACAGAGATATGTCAGAGGGTTACCACGAGGCTAGGATAACAAGGAGATCTTTTCCAAATGGAAATGTTCTAGGAAGAAGCTAATTAATTTCTGTGAGTCAGTTATTAAGAGACTGAGTCATTAGGTGGCAGGGTCTAATTTTAACCCATCTCTTCAGGCCTTTTATCTTTATTTAGAAATGAATGAAGTTCCTTGATTAGGTTCAGTGACCGGCCCAGGGTCAATCACACAGTAAATTAAAATAGCAAAAGAAGCCTTCTTCCTACATTCCCAGTCAGTTGCTCAGAGTGACTCATTATACAGAAATACTCAGAAAAACCACAAGAGCAAATCATTTAAAGAATCAAGGGGAAAGAAAATTAAATATAATTCCCCTACCAAACAATGGGATGGGAGTTTTTAAAGACTTAATATTGTTCAAATATAGTTTATGAAAGAAACACTGTGACGATAAAGAATAAAAAGGTTTCCTGGAGAGAGTAGTAGTGTGTCTTCGTACTAGGGCCAGACAAAGCACTGTTTGCATACTTTCCTCAAAGCATTGGGTAATTGGGAGGTCCCAAAGGAGTCTTCACAGATGTGCTCGGCCTTTCTGCCTGGATGCAGAGCTGGAAGTGTGACTACTGCAGAAGATGCTGATTTGAGTTCTTGGTCAACCTGGAAAGTTCAAGTTATAAAAGAGCTTGGTCCAAAATTTAAAAAACTCAGACAGTGGTAGAGTATCTTTTTGGATGAAATACAACTGTGGGTGTTTAAGAGAGCAAAGACACCAAAATTAGATAACTCTGGACCTCTAAGTTCTAGGTAGGTATTCTGGAAACCTAGAGTTCTTGGAAGGTAGTGAACTCTGCAGCCACTTCGCAGAGACTTCTGTGAGTACAAGGATGTCCCATCTATAGGCCTATTTGCCATTGTCTTTCCTTGGAAATCTGGATTATTTTCCATTATTTTCATACTGGTTAGGATCTCCAGTACAATGTTGACTACGATTGGGCATCCTTGTTTTGTTTTTGATTTTAAGGAGAATTCTTTCATAATTTTATAATTAAGTACTTTCTGATAGGTAACCGGTATCAGGTAAAGAAGACCCCTTGTGTTCCTTGTTGCTAAGGTTTCTGTTTCTGTCTTAATCATGAGTGAATGTTGAATTTTATCAAGAGCTTTTTCTGTTCCTACAGAAGTTGTATAATTTTCTTCTTTAATCGGTTCATGTAGTGAAATAGATTAATAGACCTTCAGATGTTAAACCATCCTGATCTCCTGGGATTAAACTAAGTCATGATGCAGTATTATTTATTATGCATTCCTGGCTCGTTTGCTAAGAATTTCCTCAGACTTTTGCATCTGTGGTCATAAGTGAGATTGGCCCATAAGTGCTTTTTTTTTTTTTTTTTAATGCTGACCCTGCCTGGTTTTCATACAATTCTGAGCTTTTTAATTAAAGTGGGAATAAGTCCTTATTATTCTTTGGAATACTTTGTATAAGATAGGGATTAACTGTTAATTGATTATTTGGTAGAAGTCACCCATAAAATCAGCTGGCCCTAGTGAGCAGTTTTGGGAATAAACTTTTAGCTAGTGATTTAATGTATCTAATAATTATAGGTTTCTTAGGTTTTCTATTTTTATCATGGGTCATTTTGGGTAAATTATATTTTTCTAGGAAATTGTCCACTCTATTCATTTTTAAGTATATTTGTATCAAGTATTTCTTAATGTCCTGTTTTTCAAATTCCTGCTGTATCTGAAATTTGACTCCTTTTTATTTCTAATATTAAACCCTATCTTTTTTAACGTAATTTTTCTTGCCAGACTTTTGACTTTTTTGATCCTTTTCTCGTGTATATTTTTTTTCTATTTCACTAATCTCTGATCTTTTCTTCAATATTTTCTTCCTTGTATTTTTTTGTATTTTGTTGGTCTTTTCCCCTAACTTCTTTTTTTTTTTTTTAAAGATTTTATTTATTTGCCAGAGAGAGAGAGTATACATAAGCAGGCAGAGAGGCAGGCAGAGACAGCGGGAGAAGCAGGCTCCCTGCAGAGCAAGGAGCCCGATGCGGGACTTGATCCCAGGACCCTGGGATCATGACCTGAGCCAAAGGCAGCAGCTTACCCAACTGAGCCACCCAGGCGTCCCTCCCCTAACTTCTTAATTTAGATGTGTAGCTCATCAGTTTTTGTCCTTTCTTTTTCTTATATACACATATACATTTATAGATTTCCCTCTAGGTAGTCTTGAAATATAATATTTCTTATCATTAAGTTCTGTTTTCTTCATCTTCTGTTTTTATGATCTTCATTATGATTTCTTCTGTGAGTCATTTAGAAGCATGTTTTGCATTTTTTGGTGCATAGACTTTTCTGGTTTGTTGTTGATGATTTCTAACTTAATTGTATTGTGGTCAAAGAACACAGTCTGGACAAGGTGAATTTTCATAAATATTCATGTGTGCTTGAGAAGAATGTGTTGATTTGGAAGTGGGGTTCCCTGAGAGTCCATTGGATTTTCCTTATTCCATGTATTACTCATTTCCGTAATACTATATTTTTTCATATTAATTAATTCAAACAGTGAGTTTATATTAGGCAGCCATATGTGCAAGGCACGGGTCTATGCACTTAAAATACATTTGTGAATAAAACAGATAAAAAAGATGGTACATTTTAGATTATGTTCCAGAGAGGGGTTTTGGCAGGAAGATAAAAGCCATAAAGAATCTCACTTCATCAGGGGGTATTAAAAACCTCACTTTGTGATTCTGAGCTTGATTATTGATATTTGCTTTATGTATTTTTTTTTTAAGATTTTATTTATTCATTAGTTAGAGAGAGAGAGAGCATGAGCACAGGCAGACAGAGTGGTAGGCAGAGGCAGAGGGAGAAGCAGGCTCCCCGCTGAGCAAGGAGCCCGATGTGGGACTCGATCCCAGGACGCTGGGATCATGACCTGAGCCGAAGGCAGCCGCTTAACCAACTGAGCCACCCAGGCGTCCCTGCTTTATGTATTTTGAGGTCAATCTATGTTAGATTTTTTTTCAAGTTCAGAATTGTTGTATCTTCCTGGAGATAGATATATTTATAATTCTGTGGCAACCTTCTTTATTCCTAAGTGTTCTTTGCCTTAAAACTTATTTTGTCTGCCCTTAATAGGACTATACTACCTTTCTTTTAGTTAATATTCCCTTGGCTTTTTTACCTTTTTTGCTATCAACCTTAAAAAAAAAAAAAAAAAAAGACTATTTGAGAGAGAGAGAATGGGTGGGAGGTGCAGAGGGAGAGGGAATCTTAAGCAGACTCCCCGCTGAATGCGGAGACCGACATGGGACTGGATTTTACGACCCCGAGATCACAACCTGAGCCAAAACCAGGAGTTCTGTGCTCAACCAGCTGAACCACTGAGGTGCCCCCCAACCATTTTGTATAAAGTTTGAAGTTATTGTCTTTACTCTTTTTCCATAATGACCTTGAAACACTTTAACTCCCTGACTCCCCTAATTTCCATACTGTTGTTACCAGTATTTGAGTTCCATTTTACCTTCTTACCACCATTTTCAAATTGGCTCACAGAGACAATGTTCACTTAGATTTATGAGCATGATTATCATTTCTCTGTTCATTCTGTTTGATTTTGGTTCAGTCTCCTCCACACTAAAGTACATCTTTTAGAAATCCTCTTGGGGGTGCTACTTGGTTGTAACTCCCAGTCTGGTGTTTGTTTTCCTGAAAATGTTTTTATTTTGCTCTCATTTTTGAATAATCCTTAGCTGGATATTAAATTATTACATGGATGATTCTTTTATCTCATAACTTTGAAGTCCTTATTCTCCTATATTCTGGCTTCAGCTTTTAAGAAATCATCTAATTGTTGCTTTTTTAAAAAAGTTGATCTATATTTTCTCACTGGGTGACTTCAGTATCTCTTTTGCCTTTAATATACTGAAGTTTCAATATGATGTGCTTATGTGTGTTTTGCTTTATATCTCCTGCTTGGGATTCGTTGTGTTTCCTAAACTTGAGGACATATAGTTTTCATAAAGTATGAAAAACTGTGTATTATTATTTCTTTGACTTTCTTCTCTGTTCTTTTTTGCTTTTCCCAGGGTACCTATTAGACACATATTCAACCACTTTATCCTGTTTTTTCTGTGTTTAACTCTCTTATACATATATGTCTCTTTG